AGGTCCCGGCCCCCGGCTCCCTTCCCGCCCCCCCTCAGGCGCCGCCTTTCCCCGCCCGACGACGTGAGGGGGCCGGCCCGGGCTGCGTAGGAGCCTGGCATCTAGACGGCGGCCGCAACGCTGCGCCGTTCCCCCTTCCCCTCCTCTCTCTTTCTCTCTCCTCCCGTGCGTGTGAGTATCCGCCTCGGCTGCCTGCGCGGTTACCACAACAAAGCCGGGGAGGGGGAGACGGCGGCTGCTGCTTCCCGGGGGCTGCCGGCCCGGCCCGGCCTGGCGGCGGTGGGGCCGCCGGTGCTCCGTCTCCGGGGTTGCCGGTGCCTCCTTCCCCACGGAAGGCGCCCGGAGAGCGGGTGTGTGGCGGTTGGGGGCGGCGGTTGGGGGCGGCAGGCATTTTCTTCCCCCGCCTGTGGTAATTTTTGCCAGATCGACCAAGGTGGGAGACTGTTTTGGTTTTATATATATAAAATTTTTGATCATCATATAATTAATATTGTTATTATTTTTCACTTTGCTGTCTTTCTGCTCGGTCCCCGCCTGAGCAACACGTATGTAGGTGTCTCCCAAGCATGTCACACGTGCTATATTTGGAGGGCTTCGGCTGGCGTTGAGCCGCCAGAGTTTAGTCATGCTGCCGTGTCTTACGTCTCTCTTCAGTGCCGTGCCTGCCCTCGTTGCTCCTCGGGGGGATTGGAAAAGTGGTGGGAGACTTTCTTCTGAGGTACCAGCCCTCTCGTTGGCATCGTAGTTTTGTTGGCTTTGGGAGTGAGTTACCGTGTCATGTGTGCTGCCATCCCTAAAGTTACCTGACTAGGACGGATACGTTGAAGCAATGCTCAAATAGAGTTTAGTGTAGTGTTTTGGTTGGGTGTAGTTAGCAGGAATTAAGTCAACTGAAATGATTGTTGTAAACAGCTTGCCTCAAGGGTGTCGAATCATCGCAATGGTCACATCTCCACAGTGTCCTCCGGAGGACAGTGTTGTAACCCCTCCTGCATCTCTCTAGTTTCCTCAGGGCGACGGTATTGTAACTCCCCCTGCTCTGCACAGGGCTGTGTTCTGCACTAACGGATCCCAGCGTGGGCCTGTACTTTGGGAAAATAAGCAACCACCAAACCTCTTGGTCCCTGTGTATTTGTGTGGAAGTCACAGAAGAGGCAACTGTAAATCCTGGGCCTTTCTTGGCTGTCATTTGTGCAGCCCCTGCAGCAGAACAGAGTACTGAATTCATTGCAAAGCGTCTCAGTGAGATGATACAACAAACAGCAACGTATGTCATGCTCGTGAAGCTCCGTTTTTTTCCTGGATTTTTCACAGCATATTAGGGAAATGGGCAATTTAAATTATAGCTTAGCATGCCTTTGGGCACAACCTAATTTAAGGTCATGTAACTTCTATGCCTTGGTAAAGTTCTTCCCTTGTGGTTCTGTTAAACACAATTTTTCAGAAACTGCTTTTAGTATAGTATGCAAATGTTTAGACTTGTTCAGTCATACTATAAAATATATATAAAAAGCATCTAGTGTTTGCATTTGGGCATTTATATATTTAAAAACTGTGTGGTTAAAATTTCTATGCAACATTCATAGAAGCAGCAGGAAAACTATGTGGGATGGAATGAATATAATAGAAATAGCAGCACTAAATTTCTTTTGTATCCCTGCTTTTGTCTGTTACGAGGTGCTTTATATAGGGCATCGAGTGCATTGTGCATGTTTTTGCTTCTATGAAAAAATAGTTAATCTCTCTTTCTTGGATAGAAGGTGATCGCTGGAGTTGTCAGTGGAGAGAGAACAAAGTTCCACAAAAAGTTAAATTCTTCAGAGGACCTATTTGAAGACTAAAATGAAGTCATCATTACTAGAAAATTAGTCACCGGATGTTAGCTTAAGAATGGGTTTGTAAAATAATTGACATTTTAAAATATAGTTTCCAAAAATTTGGACTCAGCCTTTGGAGTGCTTCAAGCTCTCCCACCACTTTTTCCTGTTTGTTTTGGTTTGGTTTTCGTTTTGGTTTGCTTTGGGTTTTTGGTTTTGTAGTGCAGACATTGTTCCTCTTTGTATTTTCTCAGCCTAGATAATCGTTGTAATGGTATGGAATGGAGACCAGAGAAAAGGAGAGAAGTGATTTGTGGACATTCTGTTCCTTTTCTTGGGACTTAAAGCTTTTATGACCTACTGAGATTTTTGTTTTGGTTTAGTGCTTGCCCATGTTTAAAAGGGCATTCAGAGGGTCCCATGTTTTTGCATAAGACTTACACAGGCTCAGATGGCCATCAGGACTGCTGAGCCTGTTGAGGCTTTGAAAGTACAATTGGCCAATCCCCTTAGAGACTTGACCTGGCAGCACATACAGGTGCTTCTCTAAGGAGTGTTTAAAAATTTGCAGGATAGGTGGCATTTGGTTTTCTGTGGCATAGGTGACAGGAGCATCTACAAGCTTTTTAAAGTCTGCCCAGTCAGGAGTTGGGTGATACAATAATATACTTGGAGCTTAGAGGTAAGAGCCTCAAAGTAAGCTAGCTCCTAGGTGAGCCTAAGTATCCCCTTAAATTTATGGGAGATAGGCAGACTGTTACTATGATGGATGTACCTTAGTGCTTCTACCAGAGCTGCTCTCTGAAGTTTTTTCATTCTTTGCTTCCTGTTGTTATACTTAGCAGAGACTGGTGATGGAATGATATAAAACATAACCTATGTTCCTTGGCTAAGGTTTTTCCCATCCAATAATCTTCACTGATATTTAAGTCACAGTTCAATGGTGGGTATTTGTCATTCTTTAAGTGTTTCATTTTAATAACATAATAAACACTGGAACTCCAGAAAACCCATATTACGTTGAATTTAAGAGAGCCCTATCTTTCAGCATTTTATCTGCTTTTCCATAGTGATACGTCTCATCTGAAGAAATGAACAAGTCATAAAAATACAATGCAAGAGAGGATCTCAAGAGGCCTTTACCTCATTTGGCCCCAATACACATTCTGAGGAAACATAAACATACTTGGACTAGTCCTAAGTGATACTTACTTAAGCTGTTCTTTGTATACTGATTTAGTGACTGAATTTCTGTTCTTCACCCTGCTTATCTGTACCAGACAGTGCTTGTTCCTCTTACATAGAAATATATTCACTGAAAATTAAAAGGACTGCATTTTATCTTCAGTGGCTGTGGAGAATGTGATTGCTATGTCTGTAAAACTGTATGTGTATTTTCCAAACTGTGATAATAGGTGTTATCTTGTGGTCACAAAATGCGCACCTACTTGATCTGTGTGGAAGCACATCTATGCAAAGTGTTGAGGGAAATGCTGATGACATGCCTATTTATGCAGTCAGGTCACTAAGCATACTAAATCCATAACATCAGAAGCATGAACAAACTTCTAGTTCAGTGACCATTTCTGTTGTTGGAGACAGTTCATGTATTGTGCCACTTGGTAAGGATGGCCTGGTATTCTACAGTATGCTGTGATTTATCTGCTGCTGAACTCCGTCAATAGTTTGTGAAATGGTGCAGTTGCTTCCTTTGTGGTCCTGCCATCTACTTCAGGACTGGCACAGAGTCAAATCCAGAATATGCCAAGGTTAAGTGGCATGTGCACGGTATGGATGGTCAGCTCTTGATCAAAGTTCTAATGCTCTTGAACTCTGTTACAGATTTATTTTTGAGGTCTGGCTTCCCAACAGTAGCAGATGGGTGTCTGTAGATTCTAAGCATTTCTGGGCCATACCTCTGTTGTGTGCAATGAATGAGGAGCACAGACTGAACATAACTGGTCTGTTAAAAGGTGAGAGTAGGGCAGAAGTTACTGTACAAATACTGGTGAAAGAATTGTTGTTTCTCATTTACTTTTGAACTGTGATGAAAGACAGGGTTTATGCGTCTATGTAGGTTCAAATGGGGAATGATCAATGGTGGTTTGAGAGCTTGAAGATGTACACAGAGACCTTTGAGGTTTGGGCCACCTTTGTGCTGTACTTTTTGAGACAGTTGATCAACCCGGAAGCATCACTTACAGGAAGCGGGGGAAGTGGTGTATGTGTTGTCATTTGGAAGATGGTAGTACCTGACTCCCAACAGTCTGCAGCAGCTGCTTGGATTAGTCTCAGCAGATTCCAAGGGAGCTAGTGTTTGAGGGTGTGCTTGGGGCTTCAGGAAGACATGCATACACAGGCCATCACCCAACTGGTGCACCAGGATGATGGCACTTGTAACTCCAGCCTTTACGGGGCAGATATGCTGAAGTTTTGCTTTAATAAGAGGAATTGGTTTCCTTTTTCTTGCATGCCATCATGGACTACTGTGTCAGATTCACCACCTTCAGTTGTGGATAGCCTGGTTGGATGCTTGTGGCCCCAATATTTAAATCTTTGTATTGGCAGAAACACTCTTCATAGATATGCACCGGTACAGCAGGAGCAAGAAAACTCAGCTTCCTTTTACCTTGCTCTTCACTCTCAATACCTGGCAGTAGAGTCTGTCCTTTTCTGGGCTTTTCATACCTGTATACAAATAACTTTGCTGCCAGGAATTGTTCAACGTCTGTGTATGTTATCAAAAGACTGTGGCTATGGATCACTTCTGGGAAGGGTCAGTGCCAGTGACCAGTTTCCCCCTAGCATCTTGCTGCCTTTTGGTCCCTCAGATAGCTGGAGGTGGGACTCTTGCAGGTAGTGAGAAACAGCGTATGGCAGTAGGCCCGTGAGACTTTGATGTGGCATTGCTTATGCTTGGAGAGATGGAACGGCCTTATGAAGGAAATCCTTCCAGAGGCTGCTGATACTTTTATCAAACAACATATGATTCATTGTCTTTATTTTTTATTTTGATTGTAAGCTGCTTCTGTTCCCCCTGGGTTTGGAGGGTTTGCTGGCCATTTTCTTAGGGTTCTCAGCAGTGAATGAGTAGCTGTGGCCTGTTTAGACAGGCCTGATGGGCATCATCACTCCCATCATTTAACCTCAGTAGTCTCTGACCCAGCCTTTCTGCTCATGAGGTCACAAGGTGACCTCCACTGAAGAACAAATACTAATGTGTGCATATGAGTGAAGTCCTGGAGCTACACATCCATGCCTCTCAGCATAATGTATTGCAGCTTTTCATAGTAGGGGAGTGGCTTGGTTTTGGCTCAAGAGGAACTATTTTTTATTTTTTCCCTCTTTTTTTTT